TGCTACACAGTTTTTTTTTAATATTTCTAAAAATCACTCATACAAGAAAATGTTCCAACTTAACATGTCGGTATTATTTTTCTGTTCCTTATTTCTTTTTTAGAACTTTCAGACATATCTCCCTCGACCTCTACAAGAAAAAAACAGTGCCCTGGAAAATGGTATTTAAACTAACTTGTTAATTTATTTTAAATCAAAATGATTTCTTTAAATTAGAGGTTGATGGACCATGCTCAGTGCACAGCCATCCCTATGGAACTGCCTGGCCCCTACTAAGCATGTATCTTATACGTCTAACCAAGCAGGATTCAGTTTTCCCATGGGCTGATTTCTTAACATTTTGGCATGTGGGAGCAAATGGAATGTAGAACAATACTGCAGTTTATGCTATGCATGCTTTCAGTACATTGATGTGTCTTTAACTTTTTTCCAGTTGATCCAAGGATAATTCTTGAAGATAAACTTGAAAAGGAGAGAATTCAGAAAGTTAATCAGGAAACTTTTGGTGATGGCCCTCAACCAAAGTTGGAATTTGCACAGTACAAGGTTAATTTCTACTTTACCATAGACAATGTTTATTTTGGCCTACTTATACTTACATTCTGCAGATTCCATGAATATTCCAATTTTCTGTTCTTAGTTAAGTTGATTTCCTCTGAGCCACTTACAATATTAATGTCAAAAGATTAAAGCAAAACTCAGGTAATACAACTGTAACCAAACAGCCCTATGTACCTGGTTGGCATATAACAGCTGATTATACAAAGGCCTTCATGGTCACAACCTACACTTGCTGTTCAAACAGGAGCATCAATGCCCTCTCAAATTGTGAGGGTTTGACCCTGGGTTCAGTCAGCGGCTGAACACTCAGCCATATTGTATTGGTAGGATTGATCTAAGCCTATTTCTCCCTGTCCACGCCCTAACTGCCTCCAGTAACCAGGATGGGACCTCCATTGCATCTCCTACTCAACCAGGATAAAGATATGTTGTTAGGTATTATTACCATATTGATAAGAAAGAGAGAATGTCATCCTGAATCAATACACTACAGGGTGAAATCTTCCTCAATGAAGATTGTGGGCCATAATCTACACCAGTGTTTCTCAACCTCGACAGCTTGAAGATGTATGGACTTCAACTCCCAGAATTCCCCAGCCACTGAGGTCGGGAGACACTGATGTACACATGGACAGTGTAAATTGTTTCGTATATGTCTTTATCTTCCCAATCTTAAGACTTCTAATACAATCAATAACAATACTGAATAAATTAGTGCATTTAAATTAAAGTTCTGCTTGTTTTGGGTTGTATATTAGAACTAGATATTTCTTCCACTAGAGGGCACCCTTTGATTTTTTTCATGTGCATATTTCTTACGTTATATTTAATATTGTAATAATAAATCGTTCTTAAATAAAATAGTTGCAGCATATAAAATGAACTCTGAATGGATGCTAAGAAACTTTTGTTAATCAAATTAATTTTGCAATTATTGTTTTGAAGAAAAAAATGTAATTTTGGGGAATGTTGACAAGATTTATGTAAGAATAGTACATTTAAAATGACTTTATAATGAAGCAGTTAAGATATTTGAATTGGATGAGGTCAGGAAGATTGAGGTTCACGTTTCCCTTTTATCATAGAAATCACATGTAATTTTAGGGTCTTTTTTTGTGCATCCAAATCACAAGATTGCTATGGGGATCAAATTGAGATAACAAAATATGTTAGGCTGTCTAGCATGTTGGGCCAAAGATGAAGGGAAGTACATTTAGGGAATTATGGCATAAATATGATTTATTACATTGTTTTGTTTGTTAGATATATATCTCTTAAAGGCTATTTCTGTGGGGATTTTCCTGCATTTTATCCCAACAGCAATTGTATGAATTAGTTTTGGCTTAGAAAAGGGCTGGCCCAAAGTCATCCAGTGACTTTTCATGGCTAGACAAGGATTCGAATGTGAATCTCCCTGGTCTAGGCCAGAACTTTAACAGTCCTACCGCATTGATCTATTTACAGTTTCTGTGTTTTTTGTTGTTGTTATCAATTACAGCTTGAAACAGAGTTTAAAAGTGAAGAAATAAGCATCTTGGATGCTGATGAGCCATTTAGATGTATGATCAAGTTTTCTAGTCCTCATCTTCTAGAAGCCCTTAGGTCTCTAGGGCCTTCTGGTAAGTATTGCAATTATGGTAGAACCTAAAAGCCACTATTCTATAATATTTTTACAGAATAAAAACTGCCTATAAAACCAGTGATTCACAGGCCTTTCCATAATGATGCAAACTATTCATTTGAGTTCCTTGCCAACCAATTTAAATTGTATTTTAAAAACTAGTGTGGGGGTGGCTGGGCTTATCTTAATTTTAAGCATCTGATGAAATAAATTCTACTATATTCAAATGCAAATATCTGAGTTCTGTAATAGTTGGTTCATTCTAATATAAATTAATAAGGAAAAGTCCATTTTAAGCTGCTCACAACCTTAGCCTCTTTCTAAATGTCCAAGGTGAATGAGCAACTTTAATGTTTGCAGAATCTATTCTCCTTCCGGATGGATATCGTATGAGAGTTGTTCTATTTTGATTTTGCATCTTGCCAAAATCTCACAAGACCTAAACAACTTTTAGGCAAGATCTCAAGCAAAGTTTTGGACATTAAAAATCATGAGCATGGTAGCTGAAAATGTCACGTAGCCGATCCTTGCCTGAAACATGTTATATATGCTGTTATATATGGATTTACGCAGTGCTATTAAAAGATACCAAATTCCTGAACTGCCAGGTTTACTTACACAGATATAAATTATCATATTATTGATTTTTATTATATTTTTTATACTAGGAATAGCAGATGCTCCTCTTTCACCACTACTCACCTGCATCACTCGAAAAGCCAGGAACTATTTTAAAATCAGAGAGAAAAAAGATGATCTTTCACAAACCAATAATACCTTTCAGGTAAATTAAAGAACAAACCTTTCTTTGCTGAGACAAATATGGACTTCCTGCTCCCAAGCTCTCTGTATCTTTCATATTACTGTATGGCTTGCAGAAAGATATACTTTACAACTTGGAAGGACAAGATACTCCCGGTGTTATAACCAGTAAACTCTTCATACACGTGTCACATTCTTCTGACGCAAAGCATACAAAAAAGATTTTACAATACTGGTGAAAAATAAATTGAATAATTCACAGTATTACCTTTGGGAGATTTTGTAAACAATTATCAGTGAAGGTTTGTGTATTCTTACCATGTAATTAATAAAAACCAATGCAGATGTTACCAATGCCCAATCAATCTTGTCTAATTAAAAATGAAGTGCTAATCTGATGTATATAATCCAGTTATTTTAATTGCTTGGTTTGGAGAAGTTGCTGTGAAAACAGAATGCACTCTATACAAACATTGATAATAAATGTTCAGTTATACTAAATTGAATTTTAAACTAAAATTTTAATGAATCATGTATATTTTTAATAGTATGGCTATATGTACTTAGATGTCCATTAATATAAGTCATATACTGCAGAAGATTGTTAACAAATGTCAAGGTTCTTTCTGACAATGCAGATAGCTGTTTTAAGAGGTTTTTGATTCTCATACTTTGTAAATATAAATAAAGCTATTTATAAAATTAGTTTCATTGTATTACTGTTACTTTATTCCAAGTTTATCCTGCTGCTTGAGGAGTTCAGTGTAGCTTATCAGTTTTGCCTTAACCATCATTTAATCTGTAGTTGCAGATATTGCACTAAATCAAATTGTTCTATGGTTTATTATATTATGCAAGCCTCTTCTTACTCGAAGATTATTTGAACTTAACTGAAGGATAAATTAAGTGTAATCTTTATCCGTTATGCAACATCTGAAAAATTAGTCAAATGTATTATAAACTGCTGGGCTTTTTTGTTATTCTCTGAAATGGGAATAGTCAAGCTTGGCTTGAAATGTTAGTGTATAAACTTCATGAATCACTTTATGATTCTATATACAGAACTTATTAGATAAAATTGGTTGCAATTGCACTCCAGTTGACTTTGTTGTTGCCCCAACTCTACTCCGAAGTAGAGAAAGCAGAATCATAAAAAGGTAAGTTTGTAGTTTGAAATGCTTATGTTTTGGGCTTATCCCATTACCTTTTTTGTTCTAAAATTAATAGGATTGTCAATTTACAAGAGATTCTTCTGTGTTTGGAATCTGGAATTTATAAAGGCATAGAATCATGGAAATTTTAAGGGAGGAATAGCTAAAATAATTGTCCTTGGAAAGGACAAAATGCATACTTAATTTTGCAGCAGGGGCTCGCTGGTTTTAAAACAGGCAAGTAAACCCATCAGCAGTCTTGACTTCTGCCTATAAAGATTTTTTTTACTTACATTTTATACACAGAATTAAGTCTGTTAAATTAGATCTTTATTATCTCTGAAATAATTGGGCCTTTCTGGTTTTTGTTTATCTAGAGTTTGTAGCCTGGATCCTGGACTGGGCTACCTTAAGTTGATGGTGTGAAACCTGCCAGTCAGAAGACAAAACTTTAATGCAGGGGTCTGCAACCTTGACCGCTTTAAGACTGGTGGACTTCAGCTCCCAGAATTCCTCAGCCAGCAAAGCTGGCTGAGGAATTCTGGGAGCTGAAGTCCACCAGTCTTAAAGCGGTCAAGGTTGCAGACCCCTGCTTTAATGTTTCATGCCAACATTAGGAAGGAACATTTAAGCTCACTCTGGGCATTCAGCCCAGAAATCCGCAAAGTTAAAAACCAAAAAGTCGCGCTCGGTAAACGGGCGGCCTCTTTAAACCGCTACTAATCGATCAGATGAATGAATCGCCGCCTGGAATTCGGCCCGCAGCCTCGTCCCACGTGACTTCAAGCCGCCGAAAAGGGGCGGGATCTCCGTTCCGAGGGCGGGGCCGACGCCGGCGCCGCTCTTTTCCACGCGCCCCTCATGAATATGGAAATCGGCGTCTCTCCATATTCATGAGCTGCCCCACCGGAAGCGCCCGACCGGTTGGTTTGGGTACGGGCGCGAGGAAGATGGCGGCGGCCGCTCCTCCTCCTCAGCCGCAGCGGCCGCCTCAGCGCGGGGCCCCCGGCCTGGGTCTCGGGCGTCCCCGCCGCCCGGCACCCACCCGCGACGTCCGCCAGCGGCCGGCCAGCCCGCGGGAGCTGGTGACGCCCTCGGTGACGGAGCTGTCTCGGGCCGTCCGCAGCAACATCTTGTGTACGGTGCCCGGCTGCGGCAAGGTGCTGCCCAACCCGCCGGCGCTGAGCATGCACCTCAGCAAGGCCCACCGCCTGCAGCAGGTGAGCCCCCCCCCCCGTCTCCTCCTCTCCCCCGTCTCCTTCTCCCTCCCCGTCTCCTTTTCCCCCGTCTCCTCCTTCCCCCCCGTCTTCTTCCCCCCCGGTCTCCTTCTCCCTCCCCGTCTCCTTTTCCCCCGTCTCCTTTTTTTCCCCGTCTCCTTCTTTCCCCCGTCTTCTTCCCCCCCCCGGTCTCCTTCTCCCTCCCCGTCTCCTCCTTTCCCCCCCAATCTCCTTCTCCCTCCCCGGTCTCCTCCTTTCTTCTCCCCTCGTCTACTTCTCTCCTCCCCCCCCCGTCTTCCCCCATCTCCTTCCCCGTCTCCTTTTCCCCCCCCATCTCCTCCCCTCCGTCTTTCTCCCCGTCTCCCCCCCCCCCCATAAGCCTCCTCTTCCTCCCTTCTAAATGGCCCCTGCCCCCAAATCCTCTCAGCCAGGTCTCTAGCGTCATAAACATGAGTCAATTACCAAGCATCTGAATTTTGCTCGTGTGACCGTGCAGATGCTGCCGCGATCGTAAGTGTGGAAAGTGGTCATAGATCACCTTTTTCAGTGCCGTTGTTACTTCAAACAGTCACTAAATGGACTGTTGTAAGTCGAAGACTACCTGCACTGTTTCAGTGTGGGCTGGCAAGTCGTTTTGATTCTGAGGAATCCTGAGGTGGGCTTTGAGGACCTCCATGGGTCCTAGGCCCACACTTAAACAAATGATAGTTTCCTTGCCTCTAATAGGCTGTCTTGGAGAGACCCTCCAGGGCTTTCTATCAGAAATCTGTTCAAGGTCAAGAGTTTTCTGGGAGGCCACCTTCAACATGCAAGGAATTGAATAGTTGTCATAAGATGGGTAAATTCTGGCTGCTGGGGGTTTTATTTACAAAAATAAAGAGGATCTGACTGAAGCAACTGCTTCTCTGCCTGCTTCTCCGTCATCCTCCAGAAAACATTCAGGAAACACCTTGACCCCTGTGGTCCATCACTGCAAACTCTCAATCAGCTAAAAACGCCACTGGGATACAATAATAGATTGTAACATCAAACATCTTGGGTTTTTTTTTCCTGGTTTGTAATTACTTCATCCTGCTTCAGAGTATTAATAGACTCAAAAATGTGCAACAGTTGAAAAAAAAATAAGGCCTTTGTTGACTTTGGAATTATGCTTCAGACGCTGCCTCCAGGGCTTTCTCTTGCTAACATATTTATTTTGGGCCGTCCCATTCGTTCTTCCTACTCTTGGCTTTTGGCTTTTTGATTTTGTTTGAATCGTTTTAGGCTTCCCTTAACAAAACTACTGTGTTGGGCAAAGATCAAAAGGACGGTGGGGTGTCTTGAATGTTCATACAGTTCACGATAACGTGATGTGTAGTGTGATGTGTTTCCAAAAAGCAGCAACAGTTAAATTTGTGGAGGCATCTTCAGAAGATTTGGCAGATAGGATTCTTGATTTATATTGCAATTTGGGGATTTGTCTTTCTCAAAGTTGGGACTTATGCATGATGTCAATCATTCCCCCTTCATAAGTGTGAAAATCAGTCATAAGTCATTTTTTTCAGTGCTGTTGTAACTTTGAAAGGTCAGTAAATGAACTGTTGTATGTGAAGGATTACCTGTAACCCCAAATTCAGCTTACCTTCCACCTGCTTCTTAATTCTAAAATATGCGTTTCTTTTTAATAATGTCTGCCACTTCAGGATGGAAAAATATATCCTGCAACGAGGAAAGATTTGAAAACGCTACAGAAATACTACTGCTGTCCAATTGAAGGTTGTCCTAGAGGACCCCAAAGGCCGTTTTCACAGTTTTCTCTTGTAAGGCAGGTATGGAACATAACTACATTATTTAAAGATAAATTAATGGAAATTACAGTGAGTGGAATGTCATCTCAAAAAGTTTTTTTTCTGAATTAATTTTTATGTGAAAACATATATGTATAACAAATCTGCATTTCAGTGCAAGTTGTAATTGTAAATTAAGTCCTTACTATGGGATTAGCACGTGGAATAAGAGTGAACTTGATTCAAATAAATGAACATGCAGCAGAGGCATGAATAGTCCAGAAAGTTACTTTTCTCAACTGTAGCATCTCTTTTTTGAAATCTAAATGTGTAGGGTGGCAGTGAGGGAACTTGATATTAAATAAGTTACAATTTTTTTCTTTGGTTATCCTGAACCTAAATAATGCAAGTCAGGATTTGTTCTTCTATTTCCAATTATTTTGTGGCATATAAGTAAAACTGTTAAATCCTAAAGTATCTGTGCTGCATCATTCAAAATGAACACAGAATTACAGTTAGTTCTCAATAGTAAACAAGTTTACCTGTTAGGAAATAGGCCTAATCAAAGTTGGGGGATCTGATTGGTAAACTCTACTTTTAGTCCCCAACATCTCCAGGTAGCGTCTAGATTGGTGTTCAGTCTTAAAACTGAAAAAAAAAAATCTAATAGTAATTTGAGAATGTTAAAAGATGATGCCACTCATTGGCTCTAAGTTGCTTCTCCATACCCCTATAATTTCCCTAATGTTTGCTTGTTTCAGCACTTCATGAAAATGCACGCTGAAAAGAAGCATAAGTGCGACAAATGTACCAATTCGTACGGCACTATATGGGATTTAAAGCGCCATGTTTTGGACTGTGGCAAGACTTTCCAGTGTACTTGTGGCTGTCCATATGCTAGTAGGACAGCATTGTTATCTCACATTTATCGGACACAACATGAGATCCCGGTTGAACACAGGTATGGCAGCATTTTCCAAATATCTCCTGCAGATGGACATGTTAGTTTGTGGGGTTTAGAAGCTGGGAGAAGAGTTTTGGTGTTGGTAAACGCCAGTGATTGCTCTTGGTTTCATAACTGCTTATAACACAGTGGCCTGTATTTTTCTTGGTCTTACATCCATGCATCCCTTATCAGATAGGATGCCACTAGCAAAACCTTTACATTCTCTAGTTTAAAGATTTTGCTGCACAATGCTATGTGTAGTTTTCCTGTTTCCTAGAAGTGCAAATGCGAACCATCGCTTCTTTCACCCAAATAGTTAGCACCGTGGGCTTTTGAATGTTGCATGAATTAGAGCAGGGGTCTTCACTAACGATTTATTAATGTTTACAGGGATCCGCCTAGCAAGAAAAGGAAAACTGAGACTTCGCTATCTAACTGCCTGCCGGAAGATAAAACAACAAACAAGCCCTCCGCCAACATCTGCCACAGCAGATGTGCCAGCATGGAGGATTTTGAGACCTTGGAAACCAAGTCTACAGCTTCTTTTGACGATCCCAGCCAATCTTATACTATTCAGCAAGCACAAGCACTGCCCAAAAATGCACCAAAGTTTCTCTTGCCTAAGCCGAAAATGGGTTTGGTTAAGCTCCCTGTAATGCAGCTGACTCAGTTGCCTATCTTTGTGGCAGCACCAAACTCTTCTGTGAAGTCCGTTGTGGTGGCTGTGAACGACAAAGGCTCTGTTATGAGTGCTGTTCACTTAATGCCAATGCCAGTTGGAATTATGATACCTGCCCTGGAGGCTGAAACCCTTGCCTTTAAAACCCCCTCAGCCCTTTCCAGAACCAAAACTGCCGATGGTACTAAGCCAGTTAGTACAGGCATCCAGGTGAATTTAGGCAAAGCTCCTCCCCATAATCCAGTCCAAGCTCTAGAAGCCCTGTGCTATAAAAACGGAATCTGTTCCACAAATGTTCAAACTGACCTATCTTACGTTTCCCAGAGCTTTGTGCCTTCGGCAGCTTGGCCTCCCGATTCCTCAGTGTCCTCGTGTTCTCAGACAGACCTGACTTTCAGTTCCCAAATGTTGCTTCCAGTTAGTGTAGAGACACAGACCCTGTTACCCAGCTTAAAGCTGACTTCCTCCATAGCTGCTCAGACAGATGTGCTCACTCAGGCTTGCTTTCAACCCGGTGGGATTTCTCGGGAGACTCAGACCAGCAAGTCCCAAAAAGGTATGGGTGAGAACATACACATGGACCAGACCGTCACCTGCAGCAATCTTTTCAGCAGCGTTAATGCCGCATTCCCCAATTCAAACCCAATGGCTCATCCTGGCGGCCCCTTGATGGCAGCCAACCTGGGTCAGAATATGCTAGTGCAAGGAAACTGCAAAACGGACACAAAGTGTGAGTCGATGCTCAGCTTTAGCCCACCAACAAACGGTATTCTTCCCCAGCAAATTATGACAGACAATCAGACGCAAACCATGGAGCTACTGAATGATCTGGAAACGATTTTTTCCAACAACTCAGCAAGTCACTCGTTGGATAACCGGAGTCTTTTAACAGATACTCACTCCAACCCTGACATTCCCTTAAGCTCCGTCCCTACCCAGAATGCAGGGATAGATTTTGACCTTGAGGAATTCTTTACAGCCTCCAACATCCAAACTCAAACCGAAGAGGCTGAATTTGGCAACTTGAACTCCGTGCCAGCCTTGGAGTCCCTAGACATTGAAACCCAAACAGATGTATTTTCAGACCACGCTACCCAATCCTACACCTCTCGGAGTAATTCTAATTTCTTAGGCTTAGAGATGTTTGACACGCAGACCCAGACGGACTTAAATTTCTTCCTGGACACTCCCTACCTGCCTTTGGGGAACATCTTGAAGCCCTCTGCTTTTTTGATGAGCGCCGACTCTTCCAATACAGAAACCCAAACAGAAATGAGATGTCCTGACAGCGAGATCTCCAATCATATGTCAGAGAGCAAAGTCCAGCTGAACAGCGCTGAAACGCAAACCATAGACAGCTGTCTTGATACCCTAGGCAGTTTATTTCTCACCAGCAACGAGACTCAGACAGTTATGGACGATTTCCTTTTGGCTGACTTGGCCTGGAATACGATGGAGTCACAGTTTAGTTCCGTAGAGACACAAACCTGTGCAGAATTGTGCTCGTTGCTTCAGGGGTCCGACAAAGCAAGCTCTTGAATGCCATTCTCACACTGCAGCATTTTGAAGGTTAAGTTATAAGGGGGAAGAAAACATAATTGGGGTTAGCTCTACCAAGGGTAACTAACTATAAAGCCTCGGTTTACAGACCGTGTCAGATTGCAAAGTACTTTCACTGTTGTGTATTGTGACTAATTTAAGCCCTGTTGCATATGGTTACAGTTGTACGTTATGTTTGGGCACTTTATAAGGCTTCTGCTGCTTGCTTCTGCTATCCTGAATGAATGTTCACAAACCCACAGTTCTCCTCTCATCGGTTTTAATCATGTCTGACATCTGACCTTGATGGATACTGATGCTAAAGCTGCTTTTTTTGAGAATTAACAATATGACTTCTGAGTAAACATAATGCCCCAGGTTTTAACTCTGTAATTTTTCCTTTTTGTTGTTTTTCTGCATATATTGGTGTCGGTTGCCCCTGCTTATAAGAAGTTTATATCTTACGAGGTCTCCAGCAACTCCTATGAATTCAGTCTTCAGCATATTGATCTGTTACAGTTGACCAGTTATGCAACCATGGCAGTTCCAGTGTTATTAAACATAATATTCTAAGAAAAGGAGCCAAAGTCTTATGAACCAGATTTTCTCTAACTTTTGTTTGTGTATTTCTCACTGTCAGGAAGTGAATAACATTGTATTATATAGACACTAAGCCGACAAGATGTCACACAGTTCCATGTTTGGAGTAGGTGCAGCTTGCTATTAAGAAAACAAGTATTTGTAGCCAGATTTTTTTTTAAAAAAAATTGTCTCCTGTGTATTCTTAGTTGATATCACATTTATGGAATTGAACTCAATAGTTTCAAAACCTCTATCACGTACAGAAAATAAGCAGAGGACCGTATGCAGAAATGAAAAAGGAATCGCCTAAAGAGACCCTATGAAATTCCTTTTCAAAATGCATTTTGAGTTTAAAAAGTCTTCAAAGTTTCTGCTTTAAACATAATCTGGGGTTGTCCAAGATTGTTTCTTGTTCACCCTTATTTCCGCTGGACTTAATTGTTTCCAATTCTTCACGCTGCTTCTAGAGACAGATATGCCAGCTAATATTAAAATAGCTGTTTCCAAAACACTGGTTTAAGACAATTGTTTAGAAAGCCAAGAACAGGTTTACAGTTCAACCAAGTCATTTGGTACATCTACAGCTACTGCAGGAGAACAGTCTATCAAAGGCCAGGTGACTTACAGTCATCTTTACCAAAGATCTCAACATAACTATTGGACTGCGTTGGTGAGGGTGAGTAAATTGACTTTCTGTTGAGCACTGGATTCCCTGAGCACCATTGTAGTTTTCCAAGGGCCAAAAGTGTGTGATTTTATTGATTGCAGCTCTTATAATAATAATAAGGCAAAATGAATTGCTTGATGTGCTTCTGTTGGGTCTGCACAAAGTTTGGTTTAGGAGCAAGATTGTATTAGAGAGAAATATTTCATTAAATTTCTTCAGACCTTATTCTCTCTAAAGTTTCTGTAGTTAGTAAGATTGCTTTTCTCTTTGACAGTCTGCCTTGGAGGAGGGTTGTGTGCTGTTGAATTGCTTATCTAATTATTCAATATAAAGAATAGCAGCTTGGTAAAAAGTCCATGTGCTGCAATTTACAACTCTGTGGCTCACCCTCCAAAGGACGTTTTACATGTGGTGGAAATGAAGGATTCAAATGAGACATAGATTTGTCAAAATGCCCGACAGCAGAAACTTAGTGACCACATTAGTCCATAAACACTGTATATTGTATGCGTACACATGTATAACATACAAATTGCTTTTAGCAAAGAGTAATTGCCTATACAAGGAAGTAAGTGTTCATATACTTTTGTATTTCACAAGGAAGAAGCATTTCTGTTTTTATTGTAGATTTGGGAGAACATCAGGATGTACAACAACATTTCTAATCCTGCTAAAGCGTCAAGCTGACTTGTGCCTACAAGCTAGTGCAGTCTGCTTATAGAAGTATATAGCCCAATAGTTAGAATTCAGAACGCAATGCGCTTGCTACATGCTTGATAGAAGTATAACAGCCTCTCTGGATCTGCCTAATGTGTCTAGGTCTCAATATACCCAAACATTTGGTCATTAATCTAAGTGCATTTACAAAGGTTTTGCTCAAATGCTATCCTGTTATTTAAAAGTAGCAGCACTGATTCAGTAGAAGTCATGTTGATGTATAAGCTGTTCCTTGATGGTGGTTTTAAGGAACTATTTATAGAAATAAACTTTTTCTGGTTCTGACCAATATTGGCTTTTGTGCCCTCCTGGATCCTTTCCAGCTGCTGTGCCAATCAACCCGTGTGTTTATCCTTAAGGTTGGGAAAAAGGAAAAGAAAGTTTCATTCTTCTGTGTCCATTGCACTAGACTTGAAATCTATGTCTATATGGCCTAAAGCAGTGGTTCTCAACCTGTGGGTCGGGACCCCATTTGGGGTCAAACAACCATTTCACAGGGGTCGCCAAACAACGCAGTCCGCCATTTTTCCCCCCTTTTCCTTAGCTGTGCTACTCCCTTTTATTCTATTGGCTTTTGAAAGCCAATAGAATAGACTCTCTTGAATAGAGTCTAATTCTATTGGCTTTCAAAAACCAATAGGAATTGTCCAGGCTGTCTCTGCCCTGCTGAGCCCGTCAAAAGTCCCATTCTGCAAACAGTGCTGCACCAGTTGAGTAGTCCTCGACTTACGACCGGTTGGGGTCGCGGCATTAAAATGGTTGAGAACCACTGGTCTAAAGGAAGTAGTCTATGACTATGTAATCACGAGTCTCGTGTATAGATTTACATATTGTCTAATTTTGGGCTGTCTTGCTTTCTTGCAGTAAGTAACCCAAAAGTAACCCAAAAGATGAATCGTTTTTTTTTAAAAAAAAAATATTTGAGACTCATCCTTTGAAGTAGGTTGGCAATCTGATCTTCCAGATGTTGCTGAATTGCAGCTTTTATTAGCCCGCTCTATTAGCCAGGCTGGTTAGAATTAAAGGGAGTTGTGTAAGCTTTGGAGATCATACATTACTAGTACCTGTTTTACAAGGCTACTAGGAAGAAATGCTGAGTTTGTTCCAGAAATGGGTGTCCTCCATCACTTGACGTAGTCTGTTGCTCAGATAGTTTTTCTTATAAAAGAACATTATCCTGATGTGTGATTAATAAGAGTTGATTGAAGGGAGTTTGGTATCTTAGCTTCTGATTCAGCCTTTAATTTTGTAGTTGTGGGATCATTTCTAGCCACAACTAGCCCGGTCTTATCTGCCAGTGAGAAATATCCTAAACCTTAAAGAAGTCAGGATGGTTATACAGGTATTTGGTAAGATCCTGGCAAGCTTAACTTGGTTTAATGGCATATTATCAGGATAGTTTCAGGAATATAAATGTCTGTGTTTATAAGCCACCTGTCCTGAATTGAAGTTTTGATATCATAGGTCATTGTCCCTTTTTTCTGAGCTGTTTTTCAATCAAACAACCAAGCCTTTAAAAAAAAAACCACCAATTTGCATTCAATTTATAGTTGACAAAAACACACTAACTCCTTTGAAACACCTGCTGATGGTTATGATATTAATCCTAATTACAGTTTTGAGATAAAAGGCCTATTTTCCTGCTGATAACTCCTTACAGTGGTTTTGTTTGCATCACTTGGTTCAATACATGTACATTCCATGTAATAAAGACACCTTTTACCGGCTCCTAAATTTAAATTTTTAAGGGATCTAGTTCTGTTTCAATGCACCATCGGAATTTATTAGGGCTAAAACCCTAATTTAATCCTTAGACATCAAACATGAATGCAGTCCTACAGGTTGCTCATTAAACACGAATGCAGTCTTACAAGTTGTTATCCACATAAGGCTGTAGTAACAAGTAATAATTGCAAGTAACTACATGAGAAATATTTGAATGAGAAATTTTGGTACTTCCTTTCTCATAGGAGAAAAGGTGTCTAAATGTTTCTTTGCCAGAAATCTGTCTCATATCTAAAGACAGGGCTTCACAGTTATGTTTAAAATGTTGTAGGGCAACTCCGCAGCTACTGAAAGATGTGGAAAAGCAGCTTCTGGAGCTGGTTGGAAGGAGTTGGGGAAGGGGAGTGAGAAATAAAAGTGAAGCAAGAAATAAAAACCAGCCTCCTAATGGATGCAGAAAGTAATTTTACATATTTTGGCATGAGAAAATAATGTGGTATTGCTCAAAGGAGTCCTCTGAAATTACTGCAGGATACAGGATGAAATTTATTACTGTTGCGTCTGCAAATCTGTACAATCTGACTAAATTAAATACATTTAATTTGTTAAAAACAATTAGATTATGATCAATTAGAAATGGTGGCATTTTCAAATCCCATTATTTTCAAAAAGTCCACAAAATATCCTGGCTATTTGGTGGGGCTGAAAATTATCATGTAACAGTAATGAGGCCATGAGTATTGCAGATATATATGACATTTATACAACTGCCACTGAGCTGTATGTAGGGGAAGGGATAAATCTAAAAATTTTAATAAGCCCCAAGTGTTAAAAAAAGCAACCAAAAATTGTGTCAAGCATTCTTATGCCAGATTATGGGTTTAGCAGTATAATTATGATCCCAATTTTTCAAGAACACTTGAGGTTGAAAAGTTACCTGTAGTGGCTTATTAGTTGGACTCAAGATTTCAGAACAATAGTATATTGTAAAACAAGTGCACTTTCCTATTTCTCCCCCATACTGTACCTAATTTAATTGCACAATTCTGCATCAGTTAATATAATCTGTTTAAGGTGTCCCTCCCTTGCAAAACAAATTCTACTTTCAATGTAGATTTAAGAGCATAGTCCCTAACGATTCTATGGTAATGTCTGAACTGCTGTTTTCCATAATTTAGTCTTGAGTTTCTTTGGTATAATCAAAACTGAGTGACTGGATTATCCAAACTGTATCCATTGATGATTGGCTGTAGAGAAGGTGTATTGGGGATCGCCATTGTCTTTCTGAAAGGATTCGTGATTCATTCCACGCAATGTCACACATTACCTTACAAACTGCTTCCATAGAGGGAGAGGCAGTGTGTTAACTGTCTAAAAAAATATTGCTCACCTCAGCTCTTACAGGGGAACTTTCAAAAGGAACATAACCATCTGAAAAGTTCCAATGCCGAAGAACACAAGCGCATCATGCTCTACAGCTCTTTGGATTCTCTGATGAAAATTGACCCCTGCTGACGATTACTCCCTTATGAATTATTCTATCCATTAAAGATGGGCACCTACTACTGAACTGATGCTGCCATCCTTGTAAAAAAAAATCTCTGTATTTCTGAGGACAGGCAATGCAAGGAGCCCGTAGGGTTTGGCCAAGAGAGCAGCAATAGCTTTCAAATTTTGTTTTCTGGGCCGTGGAAATAAGTCACGCTTGAGGACAGAACGCAACACACGAGCATCATGGACAAATCGGAGAGTGGTACATGATTTTTGTATTTGCTTTTTCACCATATGATTCATATCTACTCTGTTTTGATTCTTTGGCTTCTTTTGCAGCATAGCTGCGAGAGACGAAGTGAGTTGAAGCGCCGTGCCCCTTGTCCGATCTCTTGACCACAGCTGCTTTAGCTTTAGAAGGGGGCTCCAGATGCAGGTTGATTACACCAGTTTCTGACTTGAAGACTAAGAGTGCATTTAGAGCGATGCAGCCCAAGCTGCTGGGAAGATGGCCCTGGCTCGCTTTTGGCATGCTCAGAACCTCCTGTTCCGTGTGCTGAGAATACTTGATTTCATATTCCTTTATCGGCAAAGTCCTTTTCTCGCCTAAGAACGTCTGAATCGAGTCTAATTTTCCTCTTGCCCTTTCCCCCTCGGGGTTGGCATTCATCATTGGGATGTAGGTGTAAGGCTTGAAGCAGGAAACCCCAGCCTTTCTGCTGCCCGTGATGGGTTCTCCTTTGGTGAATTTGCAATCCAGGCTGGGTTGTTGGTTGGTTCTCCAAGACACGTTTTTCTTAAGCGACTCTGACATACTCTGGTGAGATATACTTGAGGTGGCTTTACTTATTCTTGGCTTCTTGGACCGTTTCGGGGACTTACAGCATGTGTAAGGAGTAACTCTTTCCCAGCTGTGTTCCTAGTAGGGGGGGAAAAAAAACATGGAATCTTTTTTTTATTAGTGTAAAGAAACTTGTGGCTATACCAAAACTATGACTTTTCCAGACCTCGGTTTGATGAATTTGGGTAAACTTTAAATGGGAGACACTTGCAACCTTTGCTCCAGCATTTTAAGACATTTTCCCATGCCACAAAGATTTCACTTGAAAATTACAACTTCTCCTGTTCGCTGAAGTCCTGTATTAAGTTAATGGATCTCAAGGGACTGGGAAATTAAGAACGATCTCTAAGTGCACCCCCAAAATTAAGTACACTAACAGAAAGGCCTTGTATGAGTCATCTGTGCGATCAACTGTGTTATTTAAAATACATCTTTTTATGTACAAGGATTTTTTTTTCTCCTTCTGAAAAACTGTGTCCCAGGCCATACTACAAATTCATCTGGACATTTCCTAACTCAGTATTTGTCTGTTTATTTACATCAAATACTGAAACCTGGTTTGTTTCTTGTTTCCCTAGTTAGCATGGGAAGTTATTGTCAGGAAAAACAAGTTTTCCTCTTTACATCACTCATTTTTATCCGTAGTGATTTCAAATTTTTTAATATAGCTAAAGAGGTGCCCTATATTTTGCCATTTTGCATATTGCAGGTTCCCCCCCCCCCTTTTTTTTTTGCATGCCTATGGATTCCTTAAAAAAACAGTCAATAGAAATTCATTTGCTATGTTAGAAATCATGGTGTTAGACTGCAGTATTGCAGGCTGACTCTGCCCACAGCCAGGAGTTCGATCCCGACAGAGCTAAAGGTTGACTCAGCCTTCCATTCTTCTGAGGTCGGTAAAATGAGGACCCAGATTGTTGGGGGCAATAGGCTGACATCTGTGAACCGCTTAGAGAGGGCTGTAAAAGCTCTATGAAGCAGTACATAAGTGCTATTGCTTTTGCTATGTTGACATCTAGTTCATTTTTAAGAGAATTAAAAACTTCGTATGTATGTGTGTGAGAGAGAGAATATGCTGCTAAAAGTAAAGTGTTCGCTATGTATTATAAATGTAGATTTTAAATATTTTACTTTCAAACCTAATTAGTTCTGTAGTAACATAAATTGTAACAGTTCTTTTAGGAGAACAGAAAAAGATTAATTGGGGCTTCAATTAAAGAGTATGTATGTATGTACGTACGTACATTCGGTACATATGTATGTATGTATGTATTCCATTCAATCAATGTCTGATTCCCAGAAGTTACATGGAGAAGTCCCTGCAGTTTCCCTGACAAGGTTTTTCAGAAGTGATTGCCCATTGCCTCTTTCCTAGGGCTGAGAGAAAGTAACTGGCCCGAGGTCACCCACTAAGGTAGGACTAGAACTCATATTCTCCCAGTTTTTAACCTGATGCCTTAACCCTACACTAAATTGGCTCTCAAACAGTCTTAAATATCTATAATGCCCACTAACTCCATAGTCATGGTAGATGTGTGATTATTTAGAAACTAGTCAAATTGAGTGAAGTTTTACAGCAAACAAGACAGTAGAAAATTGCCATCTTAAACCTCTCCCAAAGGAATGGGACATCTATTCTAATCCGAAACATGTTTTTATCTAGGAGAAAGCTCCACTCTAAATACTTTTTGTCAGATCCTCTATCTGATATTTTTTACTTTAAGATACAAAAAAGTATAAACTGTTAAACATGGTTCCCTAATTTTACTTTATTACATGTGTCAAACAAAACAATTTTTCTTTTTTTCTAGACAGCTATTTTATTTTCCTTTTCTTATCCATGATGTCAGTTCTGATCTTTTTTCCCAAAAATTGATAGAAATGCCATTCTCATACCCACTGAAATTAATATAAGGTTCATTTCTAAGTATAGACTATCTTATTTTTGAGATGCCCAGAACTGTCGTTACCTTTCTGTTATTCAAACTATGACAGGTAACAAGTAAGATAATTATGGCAGTTGTTGACAGGAAAGTATCTTGAACTGAAATACTGAGGAACATGCTGTCAGAGTGCATCCAGGAAAAAATTTATTGAAGCTATCTAGACTGTAAAACAAGGTAAACTATCTAATTTGGCATGGTAAGAAAAGTCCTAAGCAAAATATGGAAGTCAAAATTACATACAAACTAAAAACAAAACCCCCAAACAAGCAAATATTTTCTTCACATATTGACTTATCTATAAATTGTTTAAACATTTTAAATCAAAAGGCAGGTTCAAAATTAAATTCTTAACAGCACCTAAAAGTGGCTAATGGTTCCACCTAAAGATGAGAGGCCATTTTTTCTACATTCAATGAAACGCTGTCCAGATTGCAACTTAACCAAAATGAACAGAGCTCATAAACCACATCTGCTTAAATTTACAGCCTGCATTTGTCTCGAGAGTCTCTATGTGTGCAACTTTAAAGTAAGGCAAGATTTGAATCGAAGACACCTAGGCAAGGCCAAGCATAGGATCCTGTTGGTCCTGCCATGGTCCTCCCCACCTGTATTGTCCAACGACTATAATATAGCCTGAATCAGTTTATAGTTGCACATTAAGAGATTGGCAAGGCTAAAACTCCATCTTCTGTATCCTCAGGGAGCTAGGTGGATCCACTTTTAACCCATGACAAAAAATCTTGCAATAAGCTGTCTCCTGAAAGCAAAGGACTTCAAAGGCTCAAATCAGGGCGGTCCAAACCTTGCCAACTTTTAACACCTGAGGACTTCAATTCCCAGAGTTCCCCAGTCAGTCATGCTGGAGGATATTGAAGTCCACCATCTTAAATTTGCCAAAGTTGGACACTCCTGTCTTTAGAGTCAGCAATTTTAACCACACAAATCTGAAGCGCCCCAGAAATCATTCTTGTAGAGTAACTGACCAGCAGACAAGTTAATTTTTCTACAGAAGCAAGGAAATATTGCCTCTGGACATGGATGATAATAATAACAATAGAGCCTTCAGTATTTGTTCTCGTACAGAGCGAGCAAACCAACTCTATTAACATCTCAGCACTACCGTTACAATTTAAGAAAAGTCAGGTCAGCTTAGAAGGCAATGCTGTTAATGCAATCCGGCTGACCGTTAAGGAAGGGAACAGTCCAGAAAGCAGTGGGATGTCCTGAGATTTGGCCTGACTTCCTTCCAGTTTGCTTCCATTGTAACTCCTGCTCCTAACTTCACTGGCTTTGCTGGCGTGGCATCCTTTTGCATGCAGGGAATGGCTGCTGTGGAGATGGCCGGGTCTTCTCAGCTGAACTGAACTGCTCAGGGTTAGACTTTTCCGATATGGCAAAAACCCACAGTGCCAATAGCCCCGATCCAAATTCCTTGAGGTGACTGAAGTCTCGGAAAGCCTCGGGACAAAGGCGGAGGCTATCTTGTGCATTTTTATCTGCTCCTTCACCGCATCGTACAGGGCATCTATCCTCGGCTCGCGCTTCACTTCCTTGGTTTTTAAAAACTCAGGGCAGGAAACTGTCTCTGCGTAAGCATGGGAGTTTTTGTCACTGGCCTGGGAAGGAACTACCTTACTTTTCTTTGGAGAGTTATCCAGGCTGTGTTTGAGCGCTGCATCCTTCAGGGGCGGCAGGACCAAGGATGACTTAGCGGTGATTTCGCTGCCAGGCTGATTCCATAGAAGAGGCTCGTGGCTCCTTATCTCTTTGGTCTTGACGGTTTCTAGACTTTGGGGCTTTCCCGGTGACAGAATGTTATATTCCTTGATTGGCACCGTTTTTTTCTCTGCTGGGAACAGCAGATTCTCTTTCATGAGAAATAACTTTTTTTCACTCAGAGAAGCTTGGGCTTCTTTTAAGGACATTCTTTTCTTTTCTCCTTGGAACATCTGAATAGATTGCAATTTGCTATAATCTGTTTCCTTTTTAGGCTCATCTGTGGCAGAAGTAGCAGTAGTAGTAGTAGTTGTGACTGAATTAGAATAAAGCACAGTCTGTTGTTTTTCTGGAGGGCTACCTGCGGCAGCGCTTGGGCTGAGTTTGAAATCGGATTTGACTTGAACAATGTTTTTGGGCTCCGGTTCCACGCCTTGCATCAGATCTAAGCAGTAGAGGCATCTATTGACGGACTCACTTGTCCGGGTTTTTCGGACTCTCTTTTGTAATTGAAGGTAAGCAAACGGGGCTGTTTTGCTCCAGCTTTGGACCTGAAGACACGAAAAGGAGGAAAACCGTATTCAGCAAAAAAAAAAGACCTTGGGCTGGCGGGGCAAAGCCTATGTGGAAACGGCACACCCTGAATGAAACTGCAGTTTCAGAGGATGAAATTATGAGACATTCTAGTACGGTAAAAGCACCTACAGGTGCCTACAACCATTTGACGTTACAACTGCCCGGGAAAAAAGTGACTTATGACCCCTTTTTATACTTAAAATTGTTGTGGCAGCCCCAGGGTCACATGATCAGAATTCAGACATTTGGCAACTGGTTCATATTCAGGACGGTCGCAGTGTCCCGGGGCAGTGGTGGGATTCAAATATCTGAACAACTGGTTCTCTGTGTGGATGCCACTTCCGGAAGTCCATTCTGAGCCTGGGCAACAAAAAATTAGAAGTGGTGCAAATCGGCTGAATCCCACCACTGCATGGATGGACAGACAGACAGACATGGATGCAGTGGTGGCATTCAAATATGGGAACAAACGGTTCTCTATGTGGATGCTGCTTCCGGAAGTCCATTCTGGCCTGGACAACAAAAAATTAGCTACCGGTTCTGCCGAAGTGGTGCAAACCAGCTGAATCCTGCCACTGGTCCCGGGGCCAAATAAATCACTTTTGGCCACCTTCTGACAAACAATCAATGGGGAAGCCAGATTCGCTTATTAACCGTGCTACTAATTCAGGGTTTCCAACCGGGGGTACAAGACGATATTCCAGACCAGTTTACGACTTTGCTTGCCCCACTTGTTAAGTGAGTCACTACAGTTGTTAAGCTACTAGCACGGTTGTTAATTGAATCTGGCTCCCTCATTGACTTGGCTTGTCAAAAGATCGCAAAAGGTGGTTCCATGACCCCGGGACACTGCAGCCGTCATAAACACAAGCCAATTGCCAACCCTCTGGTTTATTTTATTTTATTTTTGTCAGTCACAAGACTACGGGATGCCACAGCAGTCGCGAGTGTGAAAAACCATTGCTTTTTCCAGTGCCGTTATAACTTTATACAGTCACTGAATCGTAAGCAGCGGACTGCGCCGTGCCGCGTTGTGCTGCGCGTTATTTTTGCACATTTTCTTTTTTAAAAAAGAAACCGCTGTTTAAGAATGAGAATTGGCTCGCTTACCGCTTCCTCCCATCCTGTCCCGTTCAGGCACTCCCAGGGCCTTTCCTCTTCCTCCTTTACACTATTGCTGATGCTCAAAAGGGTGTAAATCTGATTCCTCTCCCGCTTCTCACTGGCGTAGATGCAGCTGCAGCAAGTCTCCGTTTCCCCGTTTCTCAGCTTTGTGGCCTCTTTCTCACAGTTGTTGTTGTTGTCGCTTCGATTCGGTCCAGAGGAATTCATAACAGTTGCTGTCACTGCAGGTTGCCCGCCTTCTGCCTACAAGGTGAACCAGGACGGAGTTTACATCAGCAAACTCAAAACAGGTGCAACCGGTGCTTTTGAACCCAGGGTCTCTTTTAACTCCCCCCCCCCTTGCTGTAGGCAAGGCACTCTGCACCCGCTCAGGAGCTTCGGGCAGCATTTTTGCCTGGGCTTTCCTTCGAAGCCAGGCCGGGCGAGGGCCGGGGCGCCGTTACCTTGGCGGCACTCTTCTCCTGCTCAGAAGCCCCTCGTCCCCGGCTGCTTTCCGCGGAGAGGGGCTCGGCGCGCGCCCGGGATAACCGTTACCTTGGCGCGCCCTGTTCCGGGGCCTCCGCGCTCCCGGAGCAGAGCAGGCAGGGCCGGGGGAAGGGGCGGCGCTCTGCACCCGCTCAGGAGCCCCCTTGCCCGCCCGGCCGCCCGCCTCCCCGCACTCACCCCATAATCCCGCCTGCCGTCCGGCCGATCCTCGGGCTGCTTCCCCGCCTTCCCTGCCCGCCCGCCACGCCCGTGTCCGCCGCCTGCGAGAGCTCCGCCGCCGCTCAGCCGCTCGGGGGAGGCGAGGAGGACGCCGCGGCCGCCGGGAGTGGGACGGGCTCGGCGCTGCCGGGAGGGGGAGCCCCGATGCGATCACAGTCCCCGCGCCGCCCCCCGCCTCGGCCGTCGCCCGGGCCCCCGCCGTTGCCGGGCGACGGAGCAGCCGCGGGAGGAGGGGCCGCCCATCAGCGGACGGGGGAGGGAGAGAGAGGAGGTCTCAGCGCCCCGGGCCCCGAGCATCTTCTGCGCGCAGCCCGGGTTTAATGCGGAGCCTCTCCGCCATCCCGGAGCCCGGGAATGAAGGGCGATGTAAGGCTTCCGTGGATCCACGTCTGGGATGTCTGCAAATATGTATCTTGTCTTTGGGAGATGTTTTTGCCCTCTCTGCTTTGAGTTTTTCTCTCTTCTCCTGCTGTGTGCCTCCTCCTTTTTCTTGGCTTTTTGTACATGTAGAGGGAGGGAGGGGAAAAGGATGGGTGGATGGATGGATGATAGGAAGGAAGGAAGGAAGGAAGGAAGGAAGGAAGGAAGGAAGGAAGGAAGGAAGGAAGGAAGGAGAATAGTGGGGGGAGGAGAAAAAGATGGATGGATGGATAATGGGAAGGAAGGAAGGTAGGAAGGAAGGAAGGAAAATAGTGGGAGGAGGGGAAAAGGATGGATGGATAATGGGAGGGAAGGAAGGAAGGAAAATAGTGGGAGGAGGGAAAAAGGATGGATGGATGGATAATGGGAGGGAGGGAAGGAAGGAAGGAAGGCTTTTCTAAGCTGCGTTAATATATGATTAATGCAGTGATAAATCAATTGCAGGCACAGTAGTAGGTATCCATATAGTCATCTCTCTGTAAAAGTTCTTATTTGCCATATATTTTTCCCTTGAGCTCATGACTATTAAAAATAAGGACAACCTATGTCCAGAATGAGGGTGGTTTTTTTTTATGGAGAGCGGTTCCAAAATATAAAGTCACAAAAAGGCACAAATAACAGTAAAAAAAGAACGCAATCTCAATGTCACTACTGTTAACTGAAATATCAACAAAAAGTCAACTGAACTTTCTTGTTTTTTTCTTTGAAAAGGTTTCATTTCTCATCCAAGAAGCTTCTTCAGTTCTTCAGTTTAGTTCTCCAGAACCGAAGAAGCTTCTTAGATGAGAAGTGAAACCTTTTCAAAAAAAAAAAAACAAGAAAGCCCAATTGCTTTTTGGAAAAGCAGCTTTGGGATAAAGGATTATAACTCACAGTTAGCCTGGTGCCTTTAGCACGAGACTAAACTGGATTAATTAATGGTTTTGTTAAAGAAGCCTAGATAAATATTGAGATTTTATTATGGACATTAATGTATTTAGAAAATGCAGTGAAATAGATGTGCATCCTTTGGAATCCAGTATACCTGAGAATCAGTTTTAGAAAAGCACGGAATTTAACAGTGATTACAAACTGGTCATGCATCATGAAAACACTGTCACCTAGGAGATGCTAGCTCAGCTTTATGTGGGATTATGAGCATGGAACATTTTCTTTGAAGGCAGAAAAGGGTTTTGAATGTCTCATTAAAATACTTAGCTTAAGTAAGAGTAGGAGTGTGATCAGAGTACAGTTCCTACTAATCTCTACTCCTTCTCCTTTATGAGCAAGTATTTAATTACTCCGTGACATTCACGATGAATGAAACACAATCCTTTTGAGTCACAAAAGAGCTTTTTTGACAAGCAATAAACAATAATAGATTTCATAGCCAAGACTGATCTGCAGTGATACATTACGTTTCCATTGTTAAGAAGTTTGTAAATTTCTTCTCAACTAAGGTAACAAATTCTGAGCTGGTTTATCCTAACTCGCAACATAAAACAGCTTTGTCTTCCTTCTCATACAATGTAAAGTGGCATTTATGCATATTAGCTAACCAAATCAAAAATTTTAAAAAATTAAAACGTCAGTTTTAAATTCTGCTTCCTTGCCCGTTCTAAATACTCACAAAACCCTTTTTAAAAGTAATAGGTACTTATTTCCTATGTATATATGTCTATGCACCCACATTCTCCAGCAGATCAAAATATAATTTAATATCTACTTTAAAGAATCTTAGTCAATTTGGTTGACACAAATTCTTAATTCAACGTTACCCCCGTGACTAGAAAGCAAGGCAACTGGATCAGTTTCATTGCCATCACAGTAACCTTCTATGGCCATCTTAAATCTTTTCAAACCCTTGGACATATCTTCTTTTAGATATTTTCTCTTCCTTAAATCTCCTGCATGTCAGAAACGAGCCTGTCTGGGCGGAAAGTCTGGCTCTGATTGCATCTTGCAAATGAAAGATGTGGCTGCTTAGTTATTGCTAGTGGGACAAAATAGCCACAATACACAATTGTTCTTAATACGGATAACCCTCGGCTTAGAAACATTCATATATGATTGTTCAAAGTTACAACGGCGCCGATTAAAGTGCTATGATAAAAGTGACTTTCACTTCACAGTAGTTCCAGCATCCCCACGGTCACATGGTCAAAATTCACACCCTTGGCAGCTGACTCGCATTTATGACGGTTACGGTGTCATGTGAGCCCCTTTTCGGACCTTCCAACAAAGTCAATGGGGGAAGCCAGATTCATCTAACAACCATGTAACTAACTTCACAACTGCAGTGATTCGCTTAGTGACTGTGGCAAGAAAGGTTGTAAAATAGTGCAAAGTTCATTTAACAGCTGTCTTGTTGACCAACAGAAACTTTGGGCTCAATTGTGTTCATAAGTTGAGGACGACCTGTAAGGACATATAATGTCTACTGCAAATCACTGGCTGCCTGAAATGGGTTCGCTCATAAATGATGCCCAGTTCCTCAATTTGTTCCCATCAATACACTCGGAGGGTCTTCAAACTTGGCCCTTTTGCGACTTGTGGACTTCAACTCCCAGAATTCCTCAGCCAGCCCTTAGCAACTGAACCAGAGAGAAGAAATTAGATAGCTTCACCTGCAACAAAATCAGCCATCTGAATCCGAGCCTGACTCCAATGCTATGAGCATCCTTGCCCTAACACAGTGGTTCTCAACCTTTTTAATGCTGCGACCCCCAACCGGTCGTAAGTCGAGGACTACTCAACCGGTCGTAAGTCAAGGACTACTCAACTGGTGCAGCACCGTTTGCAGAATGGGACTTTTGGCAGGCTCAGCAGGGCAGAGACAGCTGGACAATTCCTATTGGCTTTTGAAAGCCAATAGAATTAGACTCTATTCAAGAGAGTCTATTCTATTGGCTTTCAAAAGCCAATAGAATAAAAGGGAGTAGCACAGCTAAGGAAAGGGGGGGAAAAATGGCGGACTGCGTTGTTTGGCGGCCCCAGTGAAATGGTCGTTCGACCCCAAATGGGGTCCCGACCCACAGATTGAGAACCGCTGCCCTAACAGATCTTCCCCTAAGGACAGATGCATTTATGAGAAAGAGCCCCCCAGTGGTGCATTTATCACGCCTGAATGTCCATTTTGTCTGAATCTACTAGTGAAAAATCCTGAGCGAAGACTGTTGAAAGGATCCAGATGCACGAATCAGAAAACTGACTTGCAGGATTTCCCCTCGCTGAGGAACATGCCGATCTTATCTTTATTCTGTCTTGATATTATCTGTATTGACATTATCCTTACCTTCTCAAGAAGCAACAGATGGAAACTGACCAAAGAGAGAAGCAACCTAGAACTAAGGAGAAACTTCCTGACAGTGAGAACAATTAACCAGTGGAACAACCTGCCTCCAGAAGAGGTGAACGCTCCAACGCTGGAAGTTTTCAAGAAGAAACTGGACAGCCATTTGTCCAAAATGGTATATAGGGTTTCCTGCCTGAGCAGGGGGTTGGACTAGATGACTTCCAAGGTCCCTTCCAACTTATCATCATCATCTTTTTCGTCTACTTTCCTACTACCCTCTCCTATTGGTATCTATGATTTATCACTTGTTGTATCTTATGATTAATGATTGTAACTACGATCTATGATATACGACCTACTATATCACTTTTATGTACACTGAGAGCTTACGTACCCGAGACAAATTCCTTCTGTGTCCAATCCCACCTGGCCAATAAGAACGAGAAAGCAGAATACTTAAGTATCCATTGTCAGGAGCTCATCCACTCTTCGCACCCCTCCACCCCCCCCCCCAAAAAAATTGTCGATCTAGCTACCTACAACTTTCTAGATGCGACTCGTATTCAAATCAAGCGCTGCCTAGAATAACCTCCAGATGGGAAATGATTCGGAAGCTAGAAGGGAGAAGCGGCTCCGCCGGAGCCTCGGGTTTCAGAGGGAAGTCACGTTTTCCCTCCCACCAGCTGCCCAGGTTCCCTCCCGTTTCCCACGTCACCCTCCTTCGGGGGAAGCATCAAGAGTACAACACAGGAGGACCGGATTCGCACGACTTAGCCGGCCCGCCATCAAAGCGGGTCGCGCCTCGGATGCTTTGGCCGGCGAGAGGGGAAGCCGCGGTTCGGGCCCCGAACTTTGCCAAGACACCCGCGGGAAAGGAGGAGTCTCCCTGCGTCGTCGCCGCGATCTCCGACTCAAAAGAAGCGGCCTGTCGTCCGGCCCGGGACGGCCGAGAGCCGCCGACGGAGCGGAACCCTTTGGCACGGGAAGCACCGGCGGCTCGAGTCCCGCGCGCCGCCCTCGCCCGCCCGCCTCCCCGCCTGAAGGACGCGGGGAGGGCGGAGGACGGGCGGCCCGAGCTGGCGGGGGCGGCCCGGCCGACCCGTGGCCCGGTGCGTCTCTAGCCGACTGCAGGGCGCAGGAGCCGCAGCCGCGGCGGGAGCGCCCGAGAGCCCGGCGGCTATGCGCAGCCCGGGAGAGCCGGCCGAAGCCGCCGAGTGACGCCTCCCCGCCTTCTCCGAGGAAGCCCGCCCGTCCGGCGGCGGCGGCGGCGCGGCAGCAGCATGGAGAAGGCCGGCTCCCTGCACGCCTCGGTGCCGGCGCCGCCGCCGCGCCTCTACCTGCCGCGCAACTTCAGCTGCAGCGCCTGCCTGTACGGCAGCCTGGCCGAGCCCTGCAAGGGCGGCTGCAGCCCGGAGAGCGAGGCGGTGGAGCCGCTGCCCGCGCCCGCCTCGCCGCCCGTCACCCGCGAAGCCCAGGCCGCCCGCCGCTCCTCCTCGCCGCCGCCTCCTCCGCGCTCGCCCTCGCCGCCCCTGCCCTCGCCGCCGCCGGCCACCCGCGGCCGAGAGGCCTCCCTCCCGCCCGTGCCGCCCAGCCCGACGCTCCGCCGCCGCGCCAAGTCGCTGCCCACGCCGGGCGAGCGGGGCCTCCGGCCGGCCCTGCAGCAGAGCCCGTCGCGGCGCAAGACGGTGCGCTTCGCCGACTCGCTGGGGCTGGAGCTGACCGCCGTGCGCCACTTCTGCCAGGCCGACGTGCCGCGGGTGCCGCCGCCGCCGGCGGCCGCCTCGCCTCTCCCGCGCGGCGCCGACCTGCTGAAGACGCGCAAGCCGCCGGCGCTGGGCGAGCTGGAGCCGGTGCTGTTCGGGCCGCCGGCGCCGGTGCTGGAGCCGCTCTTCCCGCCGCAGCCCGGGGCGGGCGCGGCCTTCGCCGAGCGGCTGCGGCAGCGCAAGGTGCAGCTGGAGTGGGTGCGGCCCGAGGCGGCGGGGCTGCGCGGCGCCGTGCGCGTCCTGAACCTGGCCTACGAGAAGAGCGTCTCGGTCCGCTACTCGCTCAACCGCTGGGCCAGCTGCAACGAGGTGCCCGCCGCCTACCTGCCGCCGCCCGCCGCCGCCCCCGACGGCCGCACCGACCGCTTCGCCTTCCACCTGCCCGTCGGCGCCGGCACCACCCTGCTCGAGTTCGCCGTGCGCTACCGGGTGGCCGGCGCCGAGTACTGGGACAACAACGAGGGCCACAACTACAAACTGCGCGGCAGGCAGCGGCCCGACGGCCGGGAACCCGACGGCGGCGGCGCCTGGATCCACTTCATCTGAACCGGGCTGGGCTCGGGTCTCTCCGGGACTCCCCCCCCCGGGGTGGGGGAAGCGGGCGCCTTCCGTCCGTCCGTCCGTCAGTCCTTGCTTCTGTTGGAAGAAAAGTCTTCATCGTGGTTCCAACACTTCGACGGGGGAAAAAGGACCGAGGAGCGCGGAAACGGGACGGCCCTCTCCCCCCCCCCGTTTTTAGTTAAGTGCTAAAGTGGGCAAACGACCCTTCGGAGGGCAATTGTGCAGAAGAATGGTTGAACCCAGAGGCTTGACGGGGGCGGCCCCTGCGACCCCTTGTCTGGCCTTGGAAACCAAGCTGTGCTTGGTCTGGTTAGAGCCTGAATGGGAGACCCCTGAGAAATCCCACAGACTAGGCTAGATGAGTAAATTGGTACATCAAGTCAACTCAGCTCATTGAGTTGAGCTTCACATTGATGTCTTTACTTCCCTTTGGGGGAGGGGTGCATTTTTTTTCTTCCAAGAGGTCAGGAGGGGCTGGGATTGTTCCCTTGGACTTGCCCCACAATTCACCTGCCAGTGACCTCTTCCTTTGGCCAGCTCCTTGACTTGCCAGAGTAAAAGCCGATTAAATGTCTGACTTCTTCAAATGCCTAATCCTCCATCATGGGAACAGAATGAAGACAAGCTTTTTCTGCCCCCTCCCACCCAGGTCACTTTTCTATGGGGAAGGGATTTCAAGAGGGGAGAGTGACCCCCCCCCCCAAGAGCCTTTTTCTGAATTGGAGATGTTGCAGGCACAAGTGATTTGAAATGCAAATTCCTAGTGAAAGTTCCCCTATTGTTTTTTTTTTTTTTTTTTTCTTAACTGAAACAATCTTCTGAAATAAACACCAGGAGCAACCATGTCAGATTGGCTGGACGCTGGTGGTATTGCAACCCATGTTCACAAAAACAGCTTTTTCATCCCTGTTAAATCTACTGTACCTTTCCCACCCACCCACCTACCCCCAAAAAGGAACAAATGAAAGTTTGTTTAGCTGGATCAACCAGGGGCAACACATCTTTGTCAGGTGTGCTCCACAGAGCTGTGGAACTTCACATAATTCAAGGACATTCAGGTGTCCTTGGAGAGTCGAAAGCCTAATACTTCTGAAAAACACCAGAATGGGAAAGATGGATGGGAACGGATTTTTTTTTTTTAATGCTGCCAGCAGTGGCAAGAAGAAAAGAAAAAAAAAACAACAACAATCTGAGACCTGCTTTGAGAAGGATCACAAAGGTTAAGGAAAGGGGGGGGCGAATCTTGTTTTGCATGCCTGCCTGCCTGCCTTGCAACATTTGTCTAATATGTAGATGATCCCAACTAACCATTCCAAAGCTGCGTGGGAGCAGCCTGGGCCGTGTCTGGTTGTGCTGCAGTGTGACGGATCTTAGGTTTGCACTTCTGTTCCATCAAAGGCTCTGCACCTTGGTGCCTGAAAGGTTATCGCTGAGATTTTTCAACATCCGGGAACCTCTGACTTTATACTCAAATTCCCACAGCCTTCTCTCTTTCTCAAGCTCTGGTCTGGACCATAAGACCTTGTCTGGTGTTCTCACGGGTATCTTTTCCTCTGCCATTTCTTCCCTTGCTGTCGCTGAGTTGTGAAATGCTCCCGATTTATACTTACGCCGCCAGATGATATTTTTTGGGGAAAAGTGCGGGCTTCCGAGTTAAATACAGATGGTCTATATTTTATATTTTGAGAGTTATAAGTGGTGGGAGGGGAGGGGAAAAAGAGAAGCGGGTTCAGGCTTCCTTTAGAGCAGGGGTCTTCAAACTTGGCCCTTGTATGACTTGTGGACTTCAACTCCCAGAATTCCTCAGCCAGGCACACGTGGGCCAAGTATGAAGACCCCTGCTTTAGAGGAAGAACATGCAACTATTCAGAAATATGTGTTGTAACGACTGGCAAATAATTGTTTCTTGTGATACCCATTTCTTTTTTTCTGTAAAAGAGGGAAAATGACTTGATAGTGTTGTTGAGGTGGTGTTTGGAGCAGACTTGGAAAATCTAACTTCAGTTCCTGAGCTTTTCTAGGAATAACAATCAAATTTGGGGTCATCCCTACTTTTTTTTTTTTTCCGCTTGTTTTAAGGAGCCAAAAAATTAAAGCTAAGCTGGGTTGCCAAGCAGCTGGAAGTAAGGTAGCCCTGATTGATAAAGTTGGGAAAAAATGTGGAATTTCAGAGGAGATGTTACCATAATACCAGAGTGTCAGCCCTTTGAGGTAGACCACTTCAAGAAATAGATACTGCAGACACACCAGACACAATCTTGAGAGCCTAATGTATTGTTTATTTGCCCCATCTTATACTGAAGAAAATCAAGGAAGAGTTACTATGAGTTTCTTCCTTACCCTTTCTTCTTTTCTGGGATGGACACCTCTTTTCTGAAACTCCATAATTAACAACCCCAGCTTTACAATCCCTCACCCGGAGCTAAACATCACATTCCAGGGATGTTTGTTCCAAATTAAATGCTCCTGCAGAACAGTATGATGACCAAAGGGGGCCTAGAATTGTAGCCTTTGGTTTCATGACCAAGCCTGTTCCTAACAAACAGAGGATGAGCTGATTCAGACCAAAGCCCTACCTTTCTTTTCCTTGGGTATGTTCAGATAAGGGCTGCACAGCCATCTTATCAGGGATGCTTGAATTGGGATACTGGCATTACATTAGCCGGAAGCTAAAGGCCTTTGTGGCACTTTCTTGTTTTATTTTACATCCTGTCATCTAGTTCAAAGGTCCCCAACCTTTTGGGCACCAGCATCCGGTTCCGTGGAGAGAGGTTTTTCCGCAGACCGGAGGGTGCATGGTTTTGTGTGCTGCCTGCATCCCGCGGATGGAGCTTTGCTTGTTTGTGTGGACCGATGGGTGGCATGCCGCAGCCTGCTCCATGGCCCGGAGGTTGGGGAGCCCTGAACTAGTTGGACACCATGGCTCAGTCAGAAGGGCAAGACAGCGTATTAGCCACGTATTTGTGCTTGACCACAATCTCTTCCTGGGGAAAATATACACTAGCCATCCTAAGTAATAAGTCTGTGCAAAGTATGTGGAGGGGCATTCTCCGAAGAGCCATCCACAGCTGCTGCTCAGAGCATCGAGGGAACCACCTCCTTCAAAATCTCAGCCACTTGAGGTCCTACCTCGAATTTCTGAGCACACACCTATGCCACTGAGACCTTTAGTGGCAACGTCGATGCAAGCATCTTCAACAACAGAGACAGATGCTTTGTTGGTCTGCAGCTGCCGCCACCACCCCTGTTCCCCCAAATACAGTGCACAGGCCATTCACTAGCGGTCTCTGAAAGCCTTATTCACCTTGAATTTTTAATCTTTTTTAAACTGGATGAATCCCATTCTAGCATTGGAAGCACGGGGAAGGCGAGATACTTTTTCCTTTTACTGTATCTTAATCAAGCCTACTTTAAGGGGAGCAGGGGATAGTTGGACCTGAATAACTAAAGAAGCAGTGAGGGATCTAGTGTCTCGCTCAGATTCCTGATGGTGGGATCTAAAGAACTGAATATTTGAAATAATTCTTTTTGTAGCTTTTCCTCCAGGATTTGTACATAGGAAGTCTGTTGAGGCTTAAGCTTTCACCCCGCGAATACATCATGTCTCTTCAGCCATATGCACACGGCCATTCTTTGTTGGCATTCTGATGTGCAAGTGCATTTGTATAATTTGACTGCTGTTGTTTATGACACTGCAGCATCTGTGCCCTGTAAAACACCATTTAATTCTGTGGGGAAAGGGGTGTGCAGCACATAAACCAGAGCAGTAAATTTCATAGAAACGTCAGAGAAAAATGGACGTTTTGATGTTAGGGAGAAAAAAAAACAACAGGGAATCAGAATTTCTAATTGGTTTCCTATCAGATGCCCAGCAGAAATCTTTTTATTTATTTATTTTGAATTCTTGACGGTGGAGGAACACTGAGAAAGAAGATCGACCTTTGGTATTTCTCTTAAATAGAAACTTAGTAAAGATATAATGCAGATTGTTTATCTTAACAAAGCCCCGTACCATGAATCAGATGATTAAATTGAATCCAAATAGCTCAAGTTAAGTGCCCTTTTCATCTTGTGAATTATAAACCAATGTGAAGAAGAAAAGCCTCATCTCAAATGTTATTTAAGTACATTTCCACATAGTGGAGGAATCCTAGCCTTGTTTAAATTGTCTGGGCTGTTCAGTGGATCTCTGTTTCACTGGCTAAATGCTTCTCTTTTAGAACCCCTTCCTCAAGTGAAAAACCAAAGAGATAGAAAGCACGAACCATCAATGCTGTTGGGGACACAATCCATCCATGTCTTGAATTGTGGGGGGTGCCCAAGACACACACACCCCCCGTCTTCAACCGAACTGGCTTAGAGAAACTCTTAATGAATTGTATCCAGGGTCTTTTTTGGGGGGTTTGGTAAAGAAATCCAAATATATATATATTTTCCCAGCAGCTTATGGCTTAATACAAAAGTGCAAAAAAAAGCAGCGTATTTTAGCACAGCTTCTGATAGCTGCCAGCCATTCTGCAATTTATATTTTTCACCATTTAGGCTGCCATCCTCTAGCTGTTCCTTATGGCATTCTCACAGACTGGCAAATTACCTTGCATGGCTGATAAAGCGTAACTAAACCCTCACCCATCTGAGCTGCAAGATTTGTTCCTGTGTAATAGTGATCTGGATGTTTGCAACCCAGCCCTTATTCAGCTATAAGCTATTTTGACTGCTGCCCATTCCATTCAGGACCAATGTATACTTAGATAGGGAAGGTGTTTATTTTTATATAACAGTGTTTTAATAATGATCAGCTGTCCGTTCTGGAGGACAGTGAGAACAATATGTATATAAGTATAGGTATGTATATAGATCTTACCTTTATATATCCAAATGCTATATAGAGCTAGGTCAGTTTGACTCAGACTGCATACTTAAAGCTCTTCATGATCCAGGCTAGTAATGCATTTCTTCTCTTGTAATCCAAATGTCTTAATACGTGCTTGCCTATCAAATAGTACAGCGATAATATTGCACTAGTTGCTTAATAACCAGCAAAGAGTATTTATGATTTATGCTGCTGTCTCCAATTCTTGGTGTTCTAGAATGAGCTTTCATGCCCTCCAGTTAATGCACTTTGGTTTGATGTCTGTCAAGCTTTTTCTCACCGGTACTTAATCCTGGCATAGTTTTATCCTGGCATGGGGGATTGTCAGAAAAGTAAAAATGAGGGCTACAGGGGGCCGCGAAAACAGGCTCAATTTCTATTCTATTGTTGGACTTTTGATTTTTTGTTTTACTGCACTGTTTTTTCAGCCACATCCTCAGGATGTTGGCTACATCTTGTCTCCAGCCCACAAACAAGCCAACCTCAATTGTCTTTACAGCCAGTACTAAAATGCTGGTTTGGCCCATCCAAGAGCAGCCTCTAAGCGTGTCAGATCAGTTGAGCTTTGCCATTATCTTGCAAAACACTTGCATGATTGGAAGTGACGGGGCACAGAAGTGGGAATGACAATCTTGCGCCAGTGTCATTGTTTTTTTTTTGTTTGTTTGTTTTGTTTGGCCAATTCGAGGATGTCTAGAGATTGTTTCAACTGGTTCTGGGGAAAGGGCCTGAATTTTCAAAGACAGATTGCCCAGAAGAAATGGACTGATCTAATACAGGGACTGTTGACTTGGCTTCTCGGGGGGGGGGGGGGGAGGAGCTTCCCAAAATTAAATCCCCTTATCTCTACCTCTTTGCCCAGACTTCCAAGACTCTTCTCAGCGTACACTTGATTCTGAAACTTATAATTCCACCCCCCCCAAAAAATAAAGTCTTGGGGTTACTGTTACAGATAGTCCTCAATCAATGACCATAATTGGGACTAGAACTAAGCAATCGGTCATTAAGTCAGCCCTCGTGTGACCAGCTTCCCCCATTGACTTTGCTGGGAAAGTCACACAGGGCGATCACGTGACACGCCCCCCCGAGATTCTGCAACCGTCATAAACACATGTCAGTTGCCGAGCGCCCAAATTGTGATCACATGACCAAGGGGGATGCTGTGAGGGCTCTAGGTGCGAAGACCAATCGTAAGTCGCTTTTCTCAGCACCGCCATCACGGTTGCTAAATCAATGGTCCTAAGTTGTGGACCGCCTGCATTTCCTTCATCCTATTGAATCGGTCATGAGGCAGATCTAAATCAGGAGCCAGGAGGAATGAGATGAGGTGACTCCACATCCTGGCCCCGGAAGTGGCGATGGAAAATCTTCCCCGGTTAATTTCTGCATAATGTGTCAAAAACAAAAGAGACGATAATTAGGGCCCTAGCATCGGCTGTGTTTCTAAAGCAGGAGTGTCCATCCAACCTTAACAACTTTACGGCCTGTGGACTTCCATTCCCAGAATTCCCCAGCCAGAATGGCTGGCCAGGGAATTTTGGGAGCTGAAGTCCACAAGTCTTAAAATTGCCACAATTGGATATCCCTGTTTGAAAGGTTTTCTGAATGCCGGTGGGGTAGAGTTAGATTTATTTGGGGGGGGGGGGAGATTTGTGGCTTTTGATCTGACAGGTGCTTAAGCTTCTGTTTTAATTGCATTAAGAAGAGTTGATGTCTTTCTCCCCTCCCACCCCCATTTCATCCCAGTAGCAGCTGAAAAATGTTCTGATCTCTTAACAGCCACTTATTCTAGATCAGTGGTTCTCAA